TATTCAAAGGAACGTATATTCACTAAGATCGTTTCAGTCTTTTAGTCAATGTGCTGCTGAGACTTTTACAAGATTTCCAACAAAAATACATATGAACATATTAAAACTGTACATAATGCACTTGTACACAAAAAGCCATGGACTAACAACCTTTATTGCTCAATGAACAAATACATTTATCCAATAGGGTACATGCTCATAGAGTCTAACAAGGTTTCAAGCTATACTATTGTCAACTGATTTATTTAAAAGTATAACTGAGGTGTTAAAATGGCTTCAGAAATTCTAGACCAAGTAAGACTTTATGTTAACTCATGATCCTGATTGCCAAACAACCAACCTCCAGTTAACAGGATGCAAGATGATTGCAGGTGAAGGCAAATTGTGCTGCCAGGACAGTATAACAGCCTGATGATCAATTAAAAAAAAAGTGAACATTTATTATCTTATACCCTACTTCAGTCCACCAATATAATCAAATAACCTGATGTTACAAAGAGTCACTTTGGAAGAGCATCATGGCTAGACTGCTATCCATCAAAACATAACTCAGCATGTGATATTTTTGGGAGATGATGGGTAATAAAACATCAATCCTAAACCTCTACCCTCATCTTGCATCAGACTTTCCTTCAAAATTTCCTTTCCTCTAAAAGAGAGAGGTTGGCACAGAAAAGGGGTCTTGGAGAAACCAAAAGCTACACTCAAAATATTTATTCCCTGTTTTTCCAGATTCTCCTTTACGATCTTATTTGTGCAACAGCAACAAAGGCAGCTTCAATACTTCCAACAGGGTAAGTGAAAGGTAATTGTCTTTTCCGGTGATAAAAGTGCTGACTTCATGTAGCACCATGCACACCAAAATGGCTCAGGCTTCAAACTCACCATGTGGCAGGAAATCATTTTTTGATCTATACTAATGGTGAGCATTGTATTAAGGTAATCAGATCAGAAGTCAAGTTGTTGTAAACTCAGATCCCAAAATAATCTACAGCCATGTAGTATTGTGTTGTGTACTTGTTACAATGCGGAAAACATTTTAGCGGCCAATTTGCCAAAAACAAGGCCCCACAAAATTGTGATGTAATAATAAACAGATGATTCTGTTACAGAAATGTTGTCTGAGATATTCAAATATTACGAGGAGCCCAGGCAAAACGCCAAATCTTCTTCATAATAGCGCTACGAGATCAGTTACGTCCACCTGAGGGGCAGAAAGACAGCCTCATATCTGTGCTTAAGAATCTTGATCACATTCTCAACATTTCAAAAATAACTTCTCCGTGGCAACTTGAGTCTGTAGTATCCCAATATCAACAGAAGAGTTATCAAATTCTGCTGCTGCACGCTAATTGAAAAACAGCCTAGGAGATCAGCAAACATTATAAAATTACTTTAGTCCATTCTAGTCTTTTTCTACAATCAATCAATCAATGTTTGCTGACTTTTAAGTCGAAAAGTGCTTTATTTGTAACAGATAAGTAGAGACGACCAAAGCACAACCATGGCTAATAATATAGTCTCACCCCAATGTAGCTGAATTTTCTGTCTTTTCGAAAACCTGTTATGTCCGTATACAGAAGGCATGGTTACTAAGTTTGTGGACGAACACCAAGATTAGTGGTATTCTGGACAGTGAAGAAGGTTATCTAAGATTACAAAGTGATCTTGATCAAATGGGTCATGCTGAAGCATGGCAGATATTTAATTTGGATAAATGCTAGGTATTGCATTTTGGAAAAAACAAAAAACCAGGACTGACGCAAGTAAAAGTCAGGCCTTGTTTTAGAACAGAGACACCTAGGAGTTCAGGTACATAATTTTTTGAAGTTTGCATCACACATAGATAGGGTGGTTAAGAAGGCATTTAGCACGCTTGCCTTCATTGCTCAGACCTTTGAATATAGGAGTCGGGATGTCATGTTGAGGTTGTACAAGACATTGGTCAGGCCTCTTCTGGAGTACCATGTCCATTCTGGTCGTCCTGTTAAAGTAAGGATATCATTAAGCTGGAGAGGGTTCAAAAGAGATTTACTAGGATGTTGCCGGGAATGAAGGGTTTGAGTTAGAAGGAAAGGCTGGATAAAAACTGAAAGAACTGCACGTGCTGTAAGTCAGGAACAAAAACAGAAGTCATCGGACCCAAACCATTAACTCTGATGTTTTCTTCTCAGATGCTGCCAGAACTGCTGAGCTTTTCCAACAACTTCTGTTTTTTGTTCCTGGATAGGCTGGAACTTTTCTCACTGGAACCGAGAAGGTTGAGGGGTGACTTAGAGGTTTATAAAATCGTGAGAGATATAGATAAAGTGAATGGCAGCTGTCTTCTTCCTGGGATGGGGGATTTCAAGACTGGGGGCATATTTTTCCAGTGACAGGAGAAAGATTTAAAACAGACACAAGGGTCTTTTTTTTTTTTAAAAAGAACACAGACTGGTTCACGTGTGGAGTGAACTTCCAGAGGAGAGGTGGATGTGGGTAGTTACAATATTTATAAAACATTGGGATAAGTACACTAACAAGAAATATTCGGAGGGATATAGGCCAAGCGCAAGCAAGTGGGATTTGTTTAGTTTGGGATTATGGTCGGCATGGACTGGTTAAACCGAAGGGTCTGTTACCATGCTGTATGACTGTATGACTCTTCAAAACCAAAACTTAAGATCCATCTGTTAGTTCTAGGGCTCTAGCACATTTTCACAGTCACATTCAAAATGTAATTTACTGCCTCAAACTTAATTCTGTAATTTATGGTACCATTTTCACTTCAGCAACTATTACCATGTTACAGGTCAATCTGTTTCATGTGTGATTTAAATATTACTTTATTGTATAATGCAACACTATTGGTAAGAGCCAAATGGAGTTCAAAGGCCTAATTTCAAACTTGAATCTAGAAAATAAAATAACTATCCTAGATGGGAAGATGTTTATCTAAACAACTGCGGACTAGCAGAAGCAATGGTTCAGAAAATTCTACTGTTTATGAACTGAACTGAAATGCATGATTAGATCACGTTAAATTATAAAACTCACTTAAGAGCCATAACAGAGAATTTCATCAATATTCAAGCACAATACCATAAAATAAGGTAATCTCGACGTATTTTTCATTCATTCAAAGCATGACGACATCATGCTGAATTATCGCTCCATTCAAAAGGACTTTTTCCAGTCATTTCATGTGTCAACTATTGTGGTGATTAATTTGGACCAGAGACATGCTTTTTATTCAGAACTGGAACACCATCCTAAACAATGACACAGTAAATCAGCTTGTAGAAATTAAATCAGCAACTTCGGCTAACCCCTCAATTCTGAGATGATCAGAGTTTTTTTTTGAATCGTAAAACAATAATCAATTGCACTAATGTCAAAACAGAAACTAACAAGTAATGCTGTATTGCGACAATACTGTTAAAACTGTTCCAAATCGTATACCCAATCTCCCGTATTAACTGAAGATTCGAAAGTATTTTTTCGTGCAATCGTTCTCCCACCATTTTTACCATGAGGGATTAGCAACTTGCATCGAACACAGTTGTGTTAATTGTACTCAACAGCCAACACGTAACAATTACAACGAAGTACTGCGTTGACAAAAATGGATTTTTTTTTTACATTTCAGTGGTCCATTCCCTGCAGGTCTCCTGCTGGATGGAGCACATCTTACTTTTTTTGCAAAGAAATTGTGCCACAGCTTTGCAAATTCTCCACTGCATCTAAAACAAACCAGCACTGGTTGCTTTAAAACAAAACGAAAACACCTGTTGCAAAACTGAAATCAATTTTAACACATCTCGGAAAAAAAATCAGCACGAAATTAAAAGACCAATCATAAAAATTTAACAAACATGGCTGCCCTCCATACATCCAGCAGGCAGCAGCAATGCAGATCCAACCTCACAGCAGCTTCTTTAAAAAAAACAGCGCTCACCGTGCTTGCAGACATCTAAAATTATTAAATCACTCCATGACTGCAAGGAGATATTAGATACTCGATCATTTAAATAGAAGATATACATACCGAAAAGACCTGTGTGGAAGTTAGAAATGTAAGGGGGAGGAGGTGAAAGACATATTAAAATAACAAATTAATTCCCCGTTCAAGAGTGGCCAGCTTCTGATTGGACTACAAGCAGGGCCTAGTTCTGGCTCTAAGTCAGTGGCACCTTTTTTATTCAGCTTTTTCTTTTCTCTCCTCCTCCCCGTTCCTTCTTTCCCTCTGGACCCGCTATGCGGTTTACACTTGACATATTTTCTCAAAACTAAAAAAAAGGGGAAATGGGAAAGCGATGAGATTGAAGGACAGGTAGATGCAGACAACTGAAGAAAAGCAGCGAACCTGTGAACCGGCGCATCTTTCCGAGCCGGAGAAGGTACTGTATTTTGAATGAGTACGGTCGGTCGGTCGGTCAGTCAGTCAGTCTTCACTAACTGACTGACTGACTGACTGACTCCCTCATCATCATCATCATCATCATCATCCTCCTTCTTCTTCTTCGTCCACCACCACCACCAGCACCACAGCGCGAAAACTCTCGCTTCCCATTGGTTGCGGCCAGCTCCAAGAGGGGCGGGGGCAAGAGGAGAAGCAGCGCGAGGAGGGAAAAAAACCGGATTTTCTCTCATTTAATATCGCAACATTCGATCCCTATCTTTCACCCCTCTCCTCCTTTCTATTTAAAATTTATAAATAAAGAAAGGGCCTTCATCCTTATTTCGTACTCTGAGGGGTTTCCGCGACCACCACCCCATCCAAAAAAACTCGAACGTTGGAAACGCGTGACGTCACAGCCTCGGAAGCTCTTTTCTTAAAAAAAATGAGAAGTTTTAAAACATTTTTACACGCGCTCCCGGGCTTGAGAATGACAATGTGTGTGTCTGTCTATTGGTGTTGAGAGGGAATTGGGGAGGAGAACAGCCGCTGACTCTCCCATCTCTTTCCACCCACCCCCTCCCTCTTCATCCTGCCGCGCGCTCGCGCGATTCCCGCTCACCATCAATCCCAACCGAACTTGTTTTGAAAAGACAGGCAGATAGGTAGGTTTCCGCGAGGACCCACGTGACTAGGCCACTGTCGATTTTTTTTTCACCATCCCGTCCGTCTTTAGAAGGTTCGCCGCCGGGCGGCTCAAGCGCCGCGCGCCATTTATGAAGGGCTAACCAATAAGCTGCCGTGCTGTAGTCTTCAGGATAGGAAGGGACGGGGCGGGGCTCGACCGGCCCGGTGTTACCGGGTAGAATGACGTGTGAAACAGGCTTTTTTTTTTGATTGGTGGCCGCTCTGGCGGCCGGGCCCCGTGTTGTTGGAGCGGTGTGAGGATGAGGGGAGGGGTTTACTTTTGGCGACGTCGCAGTGCAGCCCCTGTCGTCCGGTTGGCCTGCACGCCGGAGGAGGACGGATGTGGAATTCTGACTGGTGTTTTTAATACACAGGGAGGAAACCGCTTGGAAGGAGCAAGTGCCGTGCTGAGGGATGACTCATTGAAGCGTGCGTTGACCTTTTATCTTTTTTTACACACCGAATGCTTGCTTCCTTTGAGAAGAAGTCTATAGCTTTCGCTCCGACATTTTGTTTTCTGGTTGACGGGTGCCCGGGAGCGAAACGAAAATGACCTTCATGTTGTTCAGGAGCTGCCGGTCACCGGTGTGGAAGACGCCCAACGTGGTGTGCCGAGGGATGCGGAAAGGTACGTGTCTTAAATAAGCATCGAGTGAGTGGCGTTCAGACAAATGCTGGCAATGTTAATAACGTGAGCTGACATCAACCCACCCCCACCCCGATGGTACCGGTCATCGATGCAGATCAATCTCGGTATCCATGAAACGTAGCGTTCTTGTGTCTGTGGAAAAGAGAACTTACGAAAGGCGGGCGGACTTATTTCAGTGTATTAGGCCCGAGTTTCAATGATCAAATATCAACCGTTAACACTTCGAGTGCCTCGTTAAATGAAATGCTGCCCGCCTGGGCCCCGGAACCTCGATTCTCTTTTTTTTCCCCCTCTCATGCTCGTATGATTTGAGGGCGGTCACTGTTGCTATGGTGTTGCTGCCCTTTTCAAAGGCGTCCCTTACAAGTCAAAATATGTATTTAATGTACGAATTACTTCTTAAAACAAAACCTTTGAGTGACCTAACTTTTATCTTCGATTAGTCTTCCATGTTTACTGATCGATTTGCAGAAATTGAGCCTTTTCAGCTAAATTAGATTTTGGGGTGCAAGTCTCCCCATTAAATGATTCAGATTCTTTTGGGGAAGTACTTTTACGATATTGCGGATGCTGAAACTCTGAAAATAAATGAAAACACAAAATGTTGGAAAGATTCGGGTCAGCCAGCATCTGTGTACATAAGAACAGTTAACACTTCGGGACGATGTCCTTTCGCCGCAGCCGTAAAGTGTTAGATGTACATAACGCGTTTTTAACTGTAAAGATAATAGTGTAGAATTGGAGGAACACGGCAGAAAAATTGACGTTTCGGGCCGGGACTCTTCAGAAATGGGGAGGGGGAAGGGAGCTCAGAAATAGAGAGGAGGGGTGGGGCTGGGGACGGTGATAGGTGAGTGCAGGTCATCTAGACTCGAAACGTTAGCTTGCTGTCTCTTTTTCCTCTCTCCAAGTATGTTGCCTGACCCGCTGTGATCTCCAGCATTGGTTGTTTTCAGTAGAGAGTCAGGGATTTGTTCGGCTGCTAAAGCTTTAAACTCTGGAACAGTTGTATATGCCTACTGCCGCAGCATTATTAGGTGGTATTTTTGAAGAGTTTTTGGGAGGAAATTAAGAACATTGTCTTGATAAATAACTAAAAATATCTTTTAACTAATGAAGTTAAATTAGAATCATAGTTTGGGATAATTTTAAATTGAATGTCCTGTATTCAAATATTTGTTCTTACAGGTATATGCTGCAGCTACATAATGATCTTTTCTGAAAGAGTTGCAAAGGGCTATGAATGCCCAAGGTTACGTTTATTGAATCTCTTATGTATTTCTGTACCAACACTTGGGGGAGGCAGTGGCCTAGTGGTATTATCACTCGACTGTAAATCCAGAGACCCAGGTAACGTTCTGGGGACCCAGGTTCAAATCACATCATGGCAGATGGTGGACTTTGAATTCAATAAAAAAAAATCTGGAATTAACAATCTAATGATGACTCTGAATCCAGTGTTGATTGTCAGAAAAACCCATCTGGTTCACTCATGTCCTTTAGTTATCTGGTCTGGCATACATCCAGCCCCACAGTAATGTGGTTGACTCTGGGCAATTAGGGATGGGCAATGAATGCTACCTAGCCAGTGATGCCCTCATCCCATGAATGAATAAAGGAAAACAAAACACAATGCAGTTTTACAAATTGGAGGTCTGTGGAAGCTGGGCTGCTGAATAGTAACTGAGTTAGCTGCTTGATCTACAGTGGAATTAAGAGTTGAGGCCACAATCATGTCTACTATGATCTTGCAGAATGTTGTAACAGGTTTGAAGGGGCAAAAGGCTAACTCCCCTATAATCGTTTGCTTGAGTGTATAACAAATGTAAATGCGTGGAACAATTATTTTAATTATGTTAGGTTTATCTTTCAATTTTACTTGGATTCATAGTTCCTGTGATAACTTCTTTGTATCATAAAACAAAGAACTGTGGATGCTGGAGATCTGAAACAAAACAGAAATTGCAGGAGAAAACTCTGCACGTGGCAGCATTTGTGGGAAGAAAGTTCTGATGAAGAGCCACTGGACTTGAAATGATAACTTGTGATGTGAATAAGCTCACCAATTAGAGAGCAGACAGTTGAAATTTTTGTGGTGCAGTGATACTGCCTCTAACTGTGAGCCAGGAATCCAGGGCTCAAGTTTCACCTGCTCCAGAAGTGCGTGTTTGAATCCGTTCAGAGATGCTTTCAGAAAATATCAAGCCAGCCAGTTGTGCTGTTTTAATGCACTGGTAGGACTTGGTCAAGGAGGCTGAGGTTCCTGCCTCACCTGCTCCAGAGATGTGTAAGAACAGCTCTGAATGAGTTGATTAGGAAATATCCAGACCAGTCCATTTAACGTCAGTGGTGAGGAAGCTTCTAGAGACTGTTTTCCATGAGACCATTAATTCTTTCCCAAAAAACTGAGATGATTAGCGGGAGTTGGAATGAATTTCTAAAGGGCATTTTAACTAACTTGTTGAAATTTTTTGTCAGGGTAACACAAAACATTGTTGAGGGAAATTTCGTTGTGTGACCTTTACATTTCCAGAAGACATTTGATAGAGTGCAAAATTGGTTGAGTGATGGAAAACATCATGATGGTTTGCAGGAATATTTGTATTGCAGGTCCCACAAAGTGGTATTGGGACCCCAGCTTTTCCAGATTTTTTTGTTAATGAATTAAATCTTGGTGTGCACAGGACAACTTCAAAATTTGCAGACAAAAGGCATGTTGGAAGCATTGTAAGTTATGAGGAGGACAGTGTCTATTTAAGAAGGATGTAGGTATGTTGTGACAAATGAACTTGAATGCAGACAAGTGTGAGGTGATGCATTTTGGACGGAAGAAAATGAAGATACGGGAGTAGAAGCAGGCCACTTGACCCAAGTCTGCCCTGTTAATCATTGAGATCGTGGCTGATGTGATTATTCTCAACTCCACTTTCCTGCCCATTTCCCCACTAACCCAGATTCCCTTGCTGATTCAAAATCTGTCTCTCTAGTCTTGATGATGTAGCCTTTACACCCCCTGCAGTTAAGAATTCCCCAAATTCTCTGGTTTCTGAGAGAAGCAATTTCTCCTCATCACGGCCTTAAACGGGTGACCGTCTTATTCAGCTTATAATGTCTCATCTTAAGACTCTCTCCCATGAAGAGCAAGACCCTCTCCGTGTCATCCTTGTTAAGTGCTCTAAGAATCTTCCATATTTCAGTGAGGTCTCATATCCTTCCATAATGTGCGATCAACGTGCTGAATCTTCTCCAAACTGGCAATGGAGTCAGTACATCTTTCCTTTGATAAGGGATCAAAACTGTTCACAGCATTCTGTGTGTGTTATGACTGATGCCTTGTACAGTTTTAGCAAGATCTTCCTATTTTTAGACTTTAATCCCTTGGCAGTCAAGGCCAGCATTGCATTTGCCTCCCATGTTAGCTGCTGAACTTGGATGCTAGCTTTGTCATTTATGCACAATTATGAAATTCCTCTGACCTGCTGCTCTCTGCAGCATATCTCTAATTATACAATATTCAGCTCCTCTATTCTTCCTGCCAAAGTGCATAACTCGCATTTACCCACATTATGTTCTATCTGCACAGTGTTTGCCCATTCACTTAACCTGTGCAGACTCTGTTGTCCTCACAACTTGCCTTCACATGTATTTCTGTAACTTGCAACTTTTGCCCTCATACATCCACTCCCCTCATCGAAGTTATCAATATGAATTGTAGACAAATGTGGCCCCACCACCAATTCCTGTGGCACTCCACTAGTTACAGGTTGCCATCCTGAAAATGCTCCCGTTATCCCAACTTTGTCTTTTAGTCTGTCAATCTGTGCTAATATACAACCTGAAATGCCATGGGCTCTTTTCTTACTAAATAACCTTATGTGCAATACTTTTGGCATTTGGACATGGCACGCAATGTAAGGGTTACAGTTCTAAAGAGGGTGCAGAAACAGAGGGATCTGAGTGTATTTGTGTGCATATCATTAAGGAAAGAGCAATTAATGAAACATACAGTATCTTGTGAGAGCAAGGAGTTGATTTGTTAGACGTCAGCTGATGTCTAATGTGTGTTGCTAGGTGCCATTTTATATGAAAGCTGTGAGTGCAGAAGAGGTTTACAAGAATGGCTCCAAGGATGGAAAACTTAAGGTATGAAGCTGGATTGGAGAGGTTGGAATTGGTCACCATGGAGAGAAGGCTGAGGAGATGTGATAAAATTTTCAAAATTAAACAAGGAACATTTGAAAGGGTGCAAGAACCATTTACCACATTGGTTCCAGAGATCAGCATTTTATCCGTAAGATTGAAGCTGGTGTTGCTGTCCTTGGATCAAAAGAATGTGACGGGAAATTATAAAGAGGTGTGGAAGATTATTAAGGATTGGATAAAATAGCCAAAGATAAGTTGTTCCCATGGGCAGCACGATGGCTCAGTGGTTAGCACTGCTGCATCTGCATCAGCATCAGAGACCTGGGTTCAGTTCCAGTCTTGGACATTTACCTGTGTGGAGTTTGCACATTCACCTTGTATCTGCGTGGGTTTCTGCCGGGTGCTTTGGTTTCCTCCCACAGTCCATAGATGTGCAGGCTAGGTGGATTAGCCATGGTAAAATGGGAAGTTACAGGGATAGGATAGAGTTGTGGTTTGGATGCATTTTGGAGAGTCAGTGCAGACTCATTGAACAGTGACCTCTTTCTGCACCGTCAGAATTTTGATTAGCTGATGGTACTAGAGCTAGGATACATAGTTATATGATTTTGGGTAAATTATGTAGGGAAAGTTAAGACCATAAGAGAGAGGAGCAGAATTAGGCCATCAGCCCATAGAGTCTGCTCCACCGTTCAATCGTGGCTGATATGTTTCTTAACCCCATTCTCCTGCCTTCTGCATGTATCCCTTGATCCCGTTATGAATCAAGAACTTATCTATTTATTTTAAATACACTCAATGACTTGGCCTCTACAGCCTTTTGTGGCAGTGAGTTC